AAACCCACCAGCTACTCCTTGAAAGGAAGCTTGGGCAATCTACTTCTGTAGTGATACTGCCTCGGAAACCCAAGGAGGGGTCGCTATGAGTTGGATCTGACTCGATAGCAGTGAGTTGTTTTTTTGGTTTTTTTTTTGCAGAGTAGCAGCACAGTTGACCACCACCTTTAACAGAGCACATCTATTTCTTTCCTACTGGGATCAAAATACCATGGGCAACAGATTTGGTTGTTATGCAACACGTATGTGGCCCTTGTTTATGATGGCAATTACTGGATCCTTTTGAACCAGTTTGAAGCCTTGCTTTGGTTCCAGACTATCTGAGCTCCTAGATCCAGGAGACAGAAAGCTGGAACACCAGAGATGGCACAAGATGGCAAGAAACAGTGGCAAAGAAATGGCAGCAGAAGAACCAGGAGACAACAAAGTGGTATTCCCAGCCCATGCAGCAAGGCAGCTCCTGTGGGTGTGCTGATCCACGGAGCAAGAGAGCTCAATCTTTGGGCAGGAGGCTTCCTGGCACAGTGGCACTTGTCAACACAGCGAGGCTTGCAGACCCTCAGAGGGAGATAGCTTAGCACTTTCAGATCTATGCTTACTGTTGGAGTGGGGTGCCCCCAGGGACTTACTGGCAGAGTTAAAGAGCTTTGTAACACTTACCCAAGCAAGGCAAAGGCCAGGCCAAGGGGCTGAGAGGCCGAGGGCCAGAGAGAAGCCTGCCTGTGGGCACAGCTGAGAAATAGCTGTCCTGATCGAAGGACTGCATCCTGAGTCATTCCTAATCCTGAATTGTAATGTTACTTCTCTAACAAATCCAATAATCCTAAGTACCATCTGCGAGTTCTGTTTGGTCACATCAGTGAATTCTGAAACCCTGAAGAGAAATAGGAAGTGCCTTAGGAGGGACAGCTGGTGTCAGAATTGGTGAAAGGGTTAGAGAGAGGTGGTATGTCCGACCTCCTCTTGATAGGAATCCTCCTTGGGCTGATGCTGATTCTCATCATCTCTTCCCCTTTCTGAAGTTAGAGGAGGTCAGTCACCCCCACTGTACCATTATTACAGAGGCAGAAGAATATAGTGGCTACAAGCATGGTCTTGAGATTCACATTGCTTTGAGTCCTGCCTCTCCAAATTGCTGTTTGGCTTTAAGCCAGTTACCTCTCTATGTCTGTTTCCTCACCTGCAAAGGGAGATCAGTCTTTATCTCACTGGATTTTTGTGAAAATTTAACTAAAACAGTGTCTGGCCCATATTAATAATTCCTTAAGGTTTATTTTTTAATCGATTCTTATGAGGAGCTTCACAATCAAGATCTTATGAAGAAGCAGGGAGAGGATCATTCATTCATGTAACTATTGTCTATTAAGAATCTTCCAGAAGAATGGCGCAAGACAGCACAGTGGTCTTCCCAGCCAGCAGAGAAAGTCAACTACAGTGGATGTGCCAACCCATGGAGCAAGAGCTGAAGGCCTTCAGGTAGGAGACTTCCTGGCAGAAAGCCTCTGGACATGAAGTACTGCAGGACCAGGCAGCATTTTGTTGTGTTGTATACAAGGTCACCACAAGTTGGAACCAACTCAATGGCACCTAACAACATCATTAAGGATCTAAATTGAGATTGAGACCACCTTATTTTTCCAGGCAGGGGAAAAACGTGGCAGTCTGCTTCCATAAAGATTTACAGCCATTGTAACATGGGGCAGTTCTCCTCTGTCCTATAGCATCACTCTGAGTCCAAACCAATGCCACAAAAATAGGTTGGGTTTGGTATTTTTCCAGGAGTGTTTTAACCTAGATTTCTTATTTCTGAACTTCAATTATATGTCAGATACTGTGCTGTCTGGGTCAAGGCATCCAGAAAGTTCTCTTAACATTGGAAGAAGGGGACCAGAACCCTAGCCCCTGTTCTACTCTATATAAGCTGTATTAAGTATGTCAAGAAACCTCCCAAAGCCTTCTATAAAATGGAGAGGTAGAGAAGATAAGAAGACACAAAATTTCCAGGTTAGTATTAAAATCCTAAAAAGAAAAAACCTGAAACAATTACCAAGATTATCTTCCTGTAAAGGAAAAACAAGGTAAACCGCATCAGTGTTCCTCGTGAGCTCTGTAAGGCAGAAACGGTATCTTATGTATGTATGCATGTGTGTGTGTGTGTATGCATATATATGTCTGTAAAACAGTCTACTGGCACACAGTACCTGCTCAGAAACACTGGTCCAGTAAAACTATACATACATATTTCAGGACTAACTGCATTTTCATTAGTGCTGTCCTTATAGAAATAAAACAATTGAGTTGATTCTGACTCATGGCTCCATAACTCACTGCTGCGGAATTGATTCTGACTCATAGCAACCCTAAAGGGCAGAGTGAAACTGCCCCATAGGATTTCCCAGGCTGAAATCTTTAGGGAAGCGGACCACCACATCTTTCTCCCATGAAGCAGCTTGATGCAGGTTTGAACAGTGACTTTTAGTTAGCAGCCTAACGCATAACCACTGCAGCACCACCAGGGCTCCTCTTGGCTCCATAGGGTTGGTCAGTCGTTGATTTTTCAGAAGTAGATCACCAGGCCTTTCCTCCAAGTGCTTCTGGGTGGACTTGAAACTTCAATCTGTTAGTTGTCAAGCACTAAAACCATTAGCCATTTGTGCCACCCAATGAGTCCACAAATAAGTGATTTAATCTTCAGATCTATTTCTTCCCCTTTATTGTGCTACACATTTTATCTTTTCTTATTTAATTCTCACAGTAATCACAGTGAGGTGGATACTACTATTTTCTCTACTTTATGGACCAAGAAACCGAGATTAGAGAGAGATTAAATCGGTTAATCTGAGGACCAGGTAAGAGAGCCTAGCTGGAGCAGGGCTTTGTCTTGCTTCAAATATCTGTGCTCTAAACTATCATGAGTTTCACTTCCCATTAACACTCAGCAAATAAGTGTGTGAAGGAAAGGATGAAAGGCATAAAGACATCTCAGCATTTAGCTGCGGTGTAATCGGTAATGATGATTAAAAAAAAAAAAAAAAAATTTTTTTTTTGCTAAGGGTAATGCAGTCTGCCCACAAGAGGGCGGAGGCCCTCTCGCCTCTGCCAGAATTGTAATCTCTGGAGAAGAGAAATAAAATCTCAAATACAAGCTTGTGGGATTGACTGCCCTGGCAAACAAGGGGACCAGCTGAGGCAGAGGGGAAAGAGAGAGGACAGGCAGCATCAAAGTATCAGTCATGGACGAGTTATTCTACGAACTTTTTGGAATCTGCTGAGGAGCAAAAAGTCCGGAGACGTGGTTTTCTTTCTCCGCTTTTAGCTCTGCCATCAAGTGGCTGGGAACCTTGATTACATACTCCTTTAGACCTCACTCTCATCTGTAACACGGGACTGATGATGATACTTAAGACTTGCCTTCCTCTCTCTGGGCTGCTTGAGGAAAGTGAAGGGAGGGGCTGAAATGAGGTAACACTTGGGAAAGCGCCTTCAAAATAGCTCGGTCCGAGTCAACCCTCCAAGGGTTGAGCAACGGGGAAAAGGATGTTAGATCAATGTTCCTTTCACCAACCCCAAAACACATCCGAGAGGAGAAAGAAAGGCAGCGTGCAACAGCAATACTCACTGTCGTACAACGGTCAGAGCGAAGCGAGTCATCTTTCCAGAGCCCACAATGCGGCGAAGGAACAGCCACAGCGCCGCGTCCGATTCCGGTACACCCGCCCGGCACCGCGCCGATGTCCTGCACTGCAGGTTCACTTTGCCTACACGACTTCCGCCAACCCCGACCCGCCGGCCGGCTTCACCATCATAGGCTGAGGCAGACTCTTACGTTATCAGCGCAAGGCCAATCAGGGTAATAGTAGGCCAGAGGGCCGGCGGAGACTGGTAGAGGATGAGGCCACGCCCAGGATTGTGGCGCTTGCGCCCCTGCCCGCCGGCCTGTGATTGGCGAGCGGCAGGTGCGTGGGAAGCCCGCGGTGGGAGTCCGCGCTGGGAGTCCGTAGTAGGAGGGATTCCTGCCCCGGCAGGAGTCACCCAGCATAGATAAGGAAACCAACCCTTTGATTTTTGGTTGATCTGATTTGAGGCTGAAATGCAGCCAATAGTCGCTTATAGCTAGCAAGGGTGAGGATTACCTCATAGGTGTACAACGCCAAACAAATTGAGTCCGATAAGGTTTACCCACTAATCCCTAATATTGAAGCAGTAGGTTTAGCAAGGTCAGATTTGTGGTCTTGGACTGACCCAGTTTCAGTCACCATGTAGCAGTGTTCATGACCTTAACCTACCCTCATTTATGTGATGGGTAAAATGAGATAACTGTATTTACTTGTAATAAAGTTAGCTTCGGCAGCACATATACTAAAATTGGAACGATACAGAGAAGATTAGCATGGCCCCTGCGCAAGGATGACACGCAAATTCGTGAAGCGTTCCATATTTTCTGGTCTCCTGTTTGTTGTATAATTTATATTATATTCTGAACTCATACTGTTTGGAGAGAATTCTTTCAGGCCAATGTTTAAAGTATATTCCTTAGAAGTGTTTCTGCTGGATTTTGCTGGGTTCTTAGGGCAGCTATTTTTCTAGGTGAAAGATTTTGAATACCAGGTCAAAACCCATGTGGGAGTGAGCATACAGTTATATATTACCAGGGGAGACTTTTTCATTTTTTTCCTCTATGCAGAGTCATACGTATCTCTATTTTGTTTTGGGAGGTGGATTTTCCCCTGGCTGGTCCACTCACTGGAGATGAGCCTTTAGGGGTGTTCCAGCTTTCTGAGTTAGTATCCTATTTGGATCGCCCACCTTGGATGGACAAAGGCTTTGCTTCCTGTCTTCAATGCATGGCCTATTAAAACCTATGCTAGGTCGTAAGTGACCGCAAATGCTGGTGCCAGTAGTTATTCATCCTTCTGGATTCTAGGTTATCCTCATCACTGGACTCTGAAGGCTTCTCTTGTTGCTGACCTGATAAGCTCCATATGTATTACTGTTGAAATATTGTCTTCAAAATTGGTGGACAATCAACTGGCATAACATAGTCTACAAAGAAAATGTTCTACATCCTACTTTTGTGAGTAGCAACTGAGGTCTTCATCTACAGTACAGCTATTGGTCTCTCCCCATCCAGCTCAAAGTTGTTGTGTTGTTGTTATGTGCCGTCGAGTCAGCCCCGACTCATAGCGACCCCTCCTTGGGTTTCCAAGGCAGTATCACTACGGAAGTAGGATTGCCCAACCTTTCTTCTGAGTGGCTGGTGGGTTTGAACCGCCAGCCTTTTGGTTAGCAGTCAAGTGCTTTAGCCACTGTGCTACCAGAGCTCCCCCAGCTCCACATAGTTCTGACCTCATGGTCATGGACGATGGATTCCTTTGGACTAATTGTTTCCTTTCGTCTGATTTTCTTCATTCTACTTTGAGCTGGAACAAGAAAATCAGATGAAAGGAAACAATTAGTCCAAAGGAATCCATCGTCCATGACCATGAAGTCAGAACTATATGGTGCCCAGCTACCACTGCTGACCACCCTGAAAGGAATCACAATAGAAGGTGAACAGAGTGGGAGAAAAATATAAAACAAAACTCAAAATCACAGGAAGATCAGAGTTACTGGTCTAATAGAGACTGATGGAACCCCTGAGACTATGGCTCTTAGACACCCTTCAAACATGGAACTGAACTCACCCATGTGGCTCAACTTTCAGCCAAATGGTAGGCAGGCCTGTAAGATGAACAGTAATACCAGGGAGGTATTACTCAGAACAACAAACCATACAAGATCAAAAGAGCAGCATTTCCCTAGGTATAAAACTAAGTAGGCAGGAAGGGAGAGGAATGAAGGATGACAGGAAATGGTAAAGAAAAAGGAAGTGGGAAGAATGCTGTTATATTGTTATATGTGTGTGTGTGTGTGTATATATTTTTTATTTTTTTATTTTTATTTTTTAAAAAAAGAACAACTCACTGTCGTTGAGCCAGATCCAACTCAAAGTGACCCTCCTTGGATTTCCGAGGCAGTATCACTACAGAAGATTGCCCAATTTTCCTTGCCAGCCTTCTGGTTAGCAGTCAAATGCCTTAGGCACTATGCTACCAGAGCTCCCTAAGGGTGATTGGAGATGTGGAAAGAAGCTCTGGTGGTGTAGTGGTTAAAGCATTTGGCTGCTAACTAAAA